TTTTTAATGACCTTTGTATTGCTAGGCTCTAGCTGAGTTCATGCCACCACTGCAAATCACAGGCTGTGTAAGAAAATGCGACATCTTCCTTCAAATTGTTTGAACAAGACAGGAATTGCTAACTAGTATCTGCCGGTGTTAGGAGCATCTCTCCAAGTTGTGTAGCCATGACTTGCTCTGAACTTTTGACCAAACTAGACCCTTTCAATGGATGAGAGCTCTACTCTGTTTTATTACAGCGCACAATGTCACCATATTTACAAGTACATGCAGTGTACTTTGCAAGTAATTTTGTTAGATACAGACAAGGTAGAAAGTCTGTAACTGTGAGGGTATAAACACCTTAGGAACCTGCTACCACCTGAATCCCCTGGCTGAGTCCTTTTAAGTCACTGACACTTCACTAAGCGTTTTATTTAACATTCTACTGCTGTTGTCCATTTGTGATCACAGCCAGAGACATGATGTGTAACGTACATGTACATACTAATAGACTGGTCAATTGTACTCACTCTCATTTTGATTTGGCAATTATTGCCATAGATTTTCCTGTTTACTGTGCTGAATATGTGCTCGTTCTAACTGTATCTAGTAGTCTCTGTACTGTCTTTCAAACACATTAGAATTATTTACATATTTCACTTTTAAAAACGTTTGTCTTGAGACAGTTTTCCTTAACTAGATAAAAAAGTAACACTATGCATGTTCATTACCTTTAAACCGAATTCAGCTACATACCCATGAAAAACAATTTCAAAACTTGTCATACAAATTTAGTTGCATATTTCTCACTGACAGAATGACCTAGAGATATGAATTATATGGTCTTAAGTCCATTTTTTTCAAGGTTTTCTGATAAAAATGCCCCTTACTTTCAGTTGGTAGATTTGCTTCCATAAGGACTACTGGAGTTGACTCTTAAGTCATGGGGATGGCTCATGTCCATCACCGCAGCATGAAAGTCCCCAGGCTACATGATATAATTAATGACTAGGTGATAGAGACTGATTCACAATCCAGCATCTCACCTCTGGGCTGATCTGGGGTATTTTGGGACCTCAGAGATTTTTGAGCTCACAGCACTGAGGAATATGGTCACATTATCTATAGGCCCTGCTATGCTACACACTAAGGAACACACAACTAGCTCCAATATTTTTCAGATAATAGTATCTAGAGCCTTTTTAGTTCACTGTGATGTATAGAAACTTATCACAGCTGCATAACCCTAATAGCATCCTCTCTAAACCAGGATGAAGCCAGGAGGCAATGAGGAGGAAATGCTAAAGAGTATTTATTCTCCTCTTAGATACCAATTCTTTACTACTGCAAAGAGATGCAAGCCTAGAGAACCATGTAAGCAGTATGCTGCCCACCACTCTGGTGCTGCCTGAGGGCTAAGGGCTGTTTAGGTACCCCCTTTGCTCCAGCACCTTCTCCAGGTGAGGTACCCATCCACCCTCAGCCCTCTTCAGTACATTGAGTGCCACTTTCAAGAAGGAAAATGGGCTGTTTTCCATGGCAACTGGCACAGAGAGACAGGCACATAGCAAGGCACACTGAGTCCAAGCTTTCCTGCATGCATTGGAGATGGTATCCCCAGAGTTGGTAAGAGGAGGGCAGGAGCCAGGGGCTTGATGTGGGACCCTGCGTGACCCTCCTCCCCTCACCCAAACAACCACCAAGTCAGAAGGGGAACGGCAAAGGAAGAGTCTCCTTACCTTTAGCTCCTGCATCGTGAATTCTTTGCCATGCTCCTTGGCACTGTTTATTATGAAATCCAGAGCATCGCTGTGACCTTCTGAGTTGTTTCTCTGCAGTTTCTCCTGTATAGCCTCCTCCATGTACTTGTGCAGCATGTCCCGTGCTTTGATTCCCTGTAGAAGGCAGACACAGTTCAGGACAGCCTTAGAAACCAACCCCATCCAGAGCGACCTGGGACTCAAAATGTGGTGGTCTTTAATCCCAGGGTCAGTTAACAGCAGAATCTGCTTGATCCATAATTACCCAGCCCCAAAGCCTTGCAAGATGCACTGCTTTGGTGTGATCCTTCTGTCTTTGGGTGAACTGCTGCAGATTTGTTTGACTTTCTGTTGTGAACCAAACACAGCAAGTCCTAAGAAACACCTTGTGGGGAAAAGACAGCAGTAAGCCCACAGGACTGGCTGCAGAGGGACCTGCAGTGAACCAATTCATGGTCTGTTAGGTCCAAAAGAGGCTCATTCAAAGGAACAAGAAGAGGCGATTTAGCAAAATTAAGCCCAGGAAGCAAGGAAGATCTGATACTGTGACAAATGCATGGCTTTTCCAGAATATATTAGCTTACATGTATACGTTAATCATACCCAATCTCCAGTAGATTTGTTCTCCTAAGCAGCAAAACATTTCAGAAGATCTCTGTGCAAAGTGGGGATGAACTGAGTGACAGAGTACGGCTCTGAAGCACAATGCCTCCCTCAAAAGCCTAAAGGAACAGAAGTTTGGGACAAAGAGTGGCTGGACCAGGGGCTGGGAATGAGATACAAGGGCTCAGAGTTGAGATGCAAAAGACTGAGTGAAGAAAATAGGACAGCGAGCAGGAAAGGAACCAGGAGCTATATGCAACTTGAAGAGGTTGGTTTAGGGTCAGACAGGCTGTGTCTGATGGAAGAGGAGAAGGAGGAACGGGAGAGATGCTGAAAGCTCATGCCGATGGCAACCTCCAAGTGGAAACTGTGGACAAAGGAACATGAGCTGTGACCCAGCGTAAAGAGCTGCGAGGAAGCTGGAGGAGAAGTAGGACTCGCTGAGAAAGGGTTAGGGCTTGAAGTGGAAATCTCGGAGTCCGGACAAGACCTTGCTGAAGGAGCCAGGAGACTTGGGGTGCAGCAACACCGGGCCTGAGGGGATGGAAAACCCAAAGCCTGCGTAGAGAAAGAAGTAGGACACAGTACCTATACTAGGAACAGGGGTGTGGGGAAACAGGCCAAAAGGGGAAATCCAGCAGGGAAGAAGTGCGTTCAAGGAGGCAGGAAACTGTCCCTCTGGCATGTTCTCCTCCAGGCCTCCTCATCGTCCTCTGCTGCTGGGGAGAAGACATTGAGGACTGCAAGTGGCTCTGGCACCCTGTGCCTGCTCCGAGGTGCGCAGAGAGGCCCCTGCTGCACCCACCTGCCATTTCCTCATGCCCACAGACCCCCCCACCATGAGCTGGCATGAGCCCAGGCAGGGTAAGATGAGAGAGGACCAAACATGACAGGTTGTGTTGCTCCAACATGGACAACACACACGCTGGGGAAGGAGAGCAGGCTATGGGCACACAGAGAACCTGAGCAGAAGGGGCCTGACAAGCTGCTTAGTGGAAACTAAAGCCTCGGAGGAGCTGAAACTCACCCTGGGGGAAAGGCTTCATCCAGGCACACGGCAGCCCCGCGCTGTACAGCACAGGGAAGGAGCAGGAGTGGGTGAGAGAAGGGAGGCCGGAGGGGCGGCTGCTGGGCAGTGCTGAGCATGGCCCAGGGCGCTGCAGAAGGGGCCGCCCCGGCCCATCGGGGTCCGCGTGACGGGCCTGGGGACACGGGGGTGCATGTCGCAGGGCCCAGGCCAGTGCCGCTGCCCAGAGGGAGCGGGGCAGGCAGCAGTACCTTGCGCAGCCCACTGAAGGGTATGTTCAGGGGCAGGGAAAAGAGGTTCTCCACCATCTGGTCAAAGGTTTTGGCCAGGTCCTTGAACTGTTTTTCCTCCAGACAGAGTCCCAGCAGAATCCGAGCTGCAATGCGGAAAGTTAAGGTTTTAGCAGAGGAATAAACTGCGATGGAGCCTGGCTCCATGCACCAGCCCCGCAGCTCCCAGCTCACAACCTTCTGGATCCGCGGGAGGTAGCTCTCCAGGGCAGCGCGGCTGAACACTCTCGCCAGGATCTAGGAGGAGAAGGGGGGACAGAGGCAGGCGGTTAAGGGGGGAGCTGCAGGGCACTGCCGGGGGCTGAGCCTGAGCAGGAGGTGCCTGCAGGCCCACACGTCCCGTGAGGGTGGCTGCGGGGCTCACCTTGCGGCGCTGCTGGTGTAGGTCGCCGACGGAGCCGAGCAGCGTGTGGGAGCCCAGGATGATCTGGGTGCTGCGTGGCCACTGGGCGCTGACCAGCGTGTGCTCGCCCAGCAGGATCTTGCGGATGTTCTCAGCGCCTGTCACCCGCACCACGGGGCGGCCCAGCAGGTGGGTCTTGAAGACATTGCCGTAGCGCTCCCGCCGCGAGCTGTGGAAGCGGGAGCCCTGTGGATGGACGAGAGGAGCTGGCGGTGAGGCCGGGGCTGCCGCGGGCCCCCCCACGCGCCAGCCCGGGGCCCCCTGGCCTTACC